TTCAAAATACGCAGACGAAATATTAGCTATTTCCTGTGTGACACATTATGGCTTATGTTAAGGGTCACACAGTCCTAGTCATCTAGCCTATAAATTGTTCTACATAGAAATCACTGCATTAGATTTGTTTAGCAGTTACCTTGTCTTTTTAGAAAGTTGCTGGCAGAATAGTAGTTGAGTTTCTCAGTAAGAGTCATCCCACAGAAGCATTTAGTTTTATGTCTACATTGGAAATAATAAGCTGATAACTCTTAACAGCTAATTTTTCTTTGGTTGAAAGGATACAACTGAAGCCTCACATTTTTGTGAAAATACTGCTTAGTCTCTGGCTTTGCTTTAGATAACTTTAAGACTATCTCAGTAGTAGTAGTACTGTGTATTTCTTGGACTTATTTCTGAGTATGCATGTTCTGAAATGCATATTAGCAAAGATCAGTGAGCTGAGACACTGGAGATGGTAGATGTGCCGCTCCCCTGCCTCTCCTACTTCTACCAACACTGCAGGGAATAATCAGAATTGCATCCCACAGTTATCAGTGAAAAATACATCAATGCTTGCATAGTCAAGTAGATATTACAATAAGCTGGAGGTAACATGGAATTAGTGCCAAAATCCAAAAGATTCTAATCAAGAATTCTTTCATAACATTGACGTTTCCTTTGACACCAAAAGAAAATGGTGAACGTGGGTCAAATTTCTAAAAGAGTATTTACACACTTACACTTTTGTTGTCATTTAGATAGTTGTTCTGTCACCTCATGACTACTCCCCACCTGGGAAGGGGAATTGGGGAAAGGAAAGGAACCCATAGGTTGAAATTGAAACATTTAATAAAATAATAATAAAGCCCAGTATTAATAGCAGTAGTTATACACAAAGTTATAGTCAGCTGATATAGTGGTCATGAGTTGGGGAGTAGGCCTTAGGAGCAGAACAATGAGACCCATCAGAGATGGTAACCACTGAGAAAAGAGAGCTGTCCCCAGCAAAATCCCCAATTTATAGTGAGCGTGACATTTATGGTATGGAATAATTCTGTTGGCCAGCTTGGGTGAGCTGCCCTGGCTTTTGCCCTGATCGCTATGATACGTCACATACTGGAGCTGGACACAAACTAAAACCAAGTGTCTTATCTACTTTGTTCCCACTAAATCTAGTGCTGCAGTCTTCTCAAAAATGCAGCCCTCCTGAATAGAAAGCTGATTCTATGATTCTGTCCCAGCAAAACCAGGACATCTGTGCAAAGGCTTTTATTTATGCATCAAAAATAAGTGAAGGAAATGCTCTACAGGCATAAATTTAGGAACCTGCATGCTGAGTCAGGAGATAGTTTGAGATGGCCGTGCCTAGTGGACTAGTGCTAGCCAGCACAGATGAATTTCCCCCTTTTCCCCATGCAACCATTTTTGTGGCTTGCTTTTGCTCAGTGTGTTGAATAGGGAGCTCTGCTACCTAATTTTGCTACAGATTGTACAAGTCAGCTGTTAATTGGGCAGTGCATTACCTGATTAATAAAAACTTAAATTCTTTATTTGGTCAGTAAAATAAAATAAATTACTAGAAATTATCTTTAATATTACATCTTACCATATGGAGTTGGTAAAAGACCTGAGACAAGGCCAGTGGTGGTTGTATTCTCCACATTGTTAACTAATCTCTGCACTTCCGTTTTCCTCTTCTGAGATCTTCCTCTCCTCACTCCTTGTGCTTAGTGTGGAACAGCTTCACTTTTTACCTCTGTCATGTAACGGGATTCTCTCCCTTCTCCATAGGCCTCAAGGCTTTTCAGAAGTGATAGGATTTTCCTTACACATAGAATATGTCTGATGGAGATACAAAGAAACTTCAGCAAGAGATATTTAAGTTAGATATTATTAAACAAAATGTTGGGCATTTTTAAGAGTAGGTCAGACAGTAATCTGTGAGTAATGGTTCAAGTATTGAACCATTGATATGGATCAATGGATCATGCTTTCTGGTCGGGAATGGTATCAGATGTCAAGGTTTGTTCTAGCCCCCACTCCACCCCCTAAATTGTTGGAAATCTTATGTTGAAAGAATTCCCTTTTTCACTTCCATCTTCTGGGGATGTGAGAAATGCCTGAAGGGTTGCAATATATTTTTTTTTTCTTTTGCAGTTGCAAATGATGGTTTTTATTCAGTTAGGATTTGGTTTTGCACTTGAGTTAGAAGTATTCAGAATTCAGAAAGTTAGAATATAAAATAAGAATCATCTCCATTGCCACAAGACAGGTTTTCAGATGTTCTAATGAATACTTTGCCATCTTTAATAACAGTCCATTGTGTGATAAAATTACTGCACATATGCAGTGTGTTATTATCCATATTCATGCATATGACATACAATATAGTTGTTCCAACACAGTTTGAATATCTTTGTGCTTTGAGATAACTGCAGTTATCATTTGTTTGTTTAATCATAGGATGTGAATGACAAGAGAAATGTACTAATATCTCAAAAATTTTCTTTAATGCATTTGCAACCATCTGTATTGTATGTTAGTTTAAATTTTGTGAGCACTGCAGCATATAATTTCTCAGACCTTAGTTACTTAAAAAATAATGAATTTACTGAGCAGATTACGTATTATTTTTAGGCTTCCCATTATTTAAACTTCAGCCCTTATTTCATCTATGGTTATTCTAACTTTTATCCTTTAAATTTATTCTTATTTTCTAAATATCAAAAAAATGCCAGGAGCCCAATTACAAGTCTATGCAACAATGGTTGGTGGAGGGAGGGGGAGAAGTAAGAGGGTGTCACATTGCAAGGTTACGAAAAATAAGGATGTTTGGAGAAAAGCAGACACTAGTTTGCTTTGGTATAAAATCATGGTAATATTAGTAAAGTTTCAAGGGCTTTGAATAAGAGAAAAAATAGTCTTTTGATACTGATTTACATGATAGGAATGTGAACAAAACGAGAGTTTTTTTAGCATCTGTAGCTGATTTGGTTGTGATTACTGAGTAATTGAGTAACTGAAATTCACTTTGGCTAAATTTTTGGTCTTTGCACATTTCCACTTGGGTTAGTCACAAAGAAATATTGAAAAGAGTTAATTGAACACGCATGTAATTGTAAACTTCCATAACAGCATGGACTTCATGCCTTCAGACAAGGATCTGTTTTGATATGTATTGCCTGTTACGTTTGTTTGGTTTGGTTTGTTGTGTTTGGTTTTTTCTTAAACTAAGTGATACCATCTTTGTTATCAGTAAAGAAAGAGGAAAATATAAGGGGGCGTTTCCCTCTCGTATACTGTTTGTTACTAACAATCTTACCATTCTTACAAAGTTAGAGATGCAAGTTTGGCATTTTATAAAAAACAAAGTTAGGGAGGTAGACAGCATGAATTTCTGTCTCAACACCTAATGACCTTACTCAGTTCAGGGAAGGAAACATGATGGCATGCTCCTTTGGCCAAAATGATTCACTGTCTTCTGTTATATCATAATTTTCTCCCTGCACAGTAAATACACATGGAAAGTGTTGATTTGACTTGGACAAATCTACAAGGCAAAATTTTTGGCAGTAGAAGAAAGTATTGTATGTTTCTAAATTACCTAATCAAGTAGATATTTCATTTTTTAAACAGTTGTCAGGTTTTTGTTTTGACTTTTTTTAATAAGGACACTGATCCTTCAAGATTAGAGACCCTGTGTTTTCTACAGGGAAAACAAATATTTGATCTGTTGTGGTTTGGCATAAGAAAACAACATTGTTCATTAAATATATTTACTTTATTCCCATATATTTTGTCTAGACTTATGATGTATTATTATTAGTTTTTTGAAATCTCTTAAATATAAGGCTCTAAGCACCCTGGTGAGATATAAACTGAAAAAGTCTGGAGGAAGTCAGCAAAAATCCTCTAGAATAAACAATAATAGTATGTAGCCACTCGTCTAGCTCAAAAGACTGGGCAAAACACTACTTAAAAAGCTGTCTGTTTCTACGTTTTGTGTGACAGGGAGGAAGGATATGTGTGTATGTTTCGGTGTGAAAACGCATATAGATAGTATGCAGCCTTGTGGTTCAGACTGATGTTCACAACTGTGATTTTTTGTCCAACTGAACTACTGATTTTGTAGGAAAAGAGGTAGTTGAGCAGTGGCTGTGAAGTAAAGTAGTCTCAGTTTTGGTTTTGTTGCATTTTGTAAATGAAGTAGCTTCATGGCTCATTAACACTCTTGTCAAATGCATCCAAAGCAAACTCACGCATCACCTAGCCTAGTTTTGGTGTTTGAGCATACACTTCCCTGTCAATCCATATTGACTGAATATTGTTGATTTTTATTTTTTTTTAATAGCTTGATATGTACTGTAGATACTTCTAGAGGAAAAGATTAAGCTGGCACATGTGATTTATTTGTCTGAAAGCTTGCCAAGACCCTCTGTGGGCTAGTGTAACCTCTGCTGTAGATCCTTCTGTTTGCCTTGCCTTCATTTTTAGTTTCTTGTATTTCCATTACTCAAACTTGTCTTGGCAGGATAAAAGGGACATTCGTCTATTAGAAAAGGAAAATACTTTAGTGCATGGTCTTATCGTTTACATGGTAATGTGGATGATTTAAGTTGCTTGGTACTTTACCCTAAGTTGCTTGTATCAGCTAGACCAACACTGACTTTCCTGCTTTGTATTGTGTCACAGTATAGTACAAAGGCTGTAGTGTTGACTTATGAATAAAGTGGGAATGGTTCAACTACATTTCATGTCTAGACAACTAAACTTGTCAAATTACTTTGATATTAACCTTATAAACAGAGGCTCAGCTTAGTTCATCAATGGTAGAATACCTTATCTTCAGCACTGAACACTTTCACTGATTTCTTGAAGTGATGAAGTATGAACAGTATTTCATTTGATCACTTCCTTTTTGAATGTATTTAGGCACCGAAAGTTAAAGTACTTGCAGTCAAATGGCAATAAATAGTTTAATACTTTGCTTTTTTTTTTCTTTCCTTTTTTTGCTTTAGGGTCTGGGATTTGGAAGGAAATGAGAAGGCCCATTTTGTTTTACGTTCTCCTGGAATGAGTGTTTGCTGGCATCCTGAGGAGGCTTTTAAGGTTGTGTTTTCCAGCTCTTCACCCTCACTGGCTTTAAAATAACAGGAGGGTGGACTTATCTAAACTATGAATCTTCAATGCTGTCATAAGATTGAAGTTTAGGGAGCCTAGTGTACATTGTAACTGGATATTGGTTGGGTCTGCTAATGTGAAGTCACTGTAGATGAATTCTCTTTCTTGTCATATTACCCTCAGTCCTCCCATCAGAAATATTCCTTCTTGATTACATACATCAGCTGTTGTTCATAACTGTTCTGCTGATTACATGTTAACTTACAGTTACCAGAGAAAAGTTCAAGTTTTTCTTAATTGTGGTAACACGAATCACCAATAACATAGACTCTTATAAAGCATGCCAGGTTTTGAAAAGGATCTGTTTGAAGTTAGCACGGGATTTTTGTTGTTGTTTTTCTTACTTGGACTATATGAAATAAGTGCTGAAAAATCAAAATAAAATCAATAAACTAGGGTTTATACTTAAGTGTTTATTGTACTGGGGAGGATTAACCAGCTGATACATACCAAAATATTCAGCTTCATTAATGGTCTAGTCTGTGCAGTCTTGGATTTACTATTCCTGTTGTGCCAATCAATAACTGTCTTAAGCAGCTACAAATAGTTGTTCAGATTACCAGAAAAACACACACTTAAAACAGAGAAAAGCAGTCAAATAAGGTATCAAAATATTTACATACCAACAGGGAAGAAGGATCTCTATTCTCACCACACTTTCCACCAATATCAGTATCTGGTCTTTACTAAGAAAACCAGGAAAACTGTTGATTCAGGTGGTATCACCACTGAATACGTTTGCTATTCTTTGCTACCGGGCAAATTTGTTAGCACAACAGAATTACTAGATTAGCCCAAAAGTATTGCAATATTACACCAGCCTTACATATTAGCTTGTCTTTTCTTTGACCCTTATCAAAGAGTGGGCACAGGATTATTTTTGTAAAGTAAAACTCTTTCAAAAACCTAGTAAAACTTGACGGACTGGTAGTTGCTGAAAAGCTTATTGCAGGTCAAAATGGTTACTCCACCAGGTCCTTAAGTTTGCAGAAGAGCATGTTTTGGTGGCAGATCTCTCTGTCCAAAAAAATGTGGAGGTTATTGCACAACATGTCCAGCTTTTCATCCACCAGCACCCCAAAGTCCTTCTCCCCAGAGCAGTTCTCAATCCCTTCATCCCCCCAGCCTGTATTGATACCGGGATTTGCCCCAACTCAGGTGCATGACCTTGCACTTCGCCTTGTTGAACCTTATGAGGTTCACATGGGCCCACTTCTCAAGCTTGTCCAGGTCCCTCTGAATGACACCCTGTCCCTCAGGCTTGGTAACATCTGTAAATTTGCTGAGGGTGCACTTGATCCCACTGTCCATGTCATTGATGAAGATACTAAAAAGTACTGATAAAAATGTTAAGATTCATTATCTGCTAAGTTTACAAGTTTCTATTAATTTCTTTTTACAGCTGATGGTTGCAGAGAAGAATGGAACAATACGATTCTATGATCTAATTACACAGCAGGCAATTCTTTCACTAGAGTGTGAACAAACGCCGCTGATGTCAGCAGACTGGTGTTTAAAAAATACTCTAAAAATTGGAGCAGTTGCTGGAAGTGATTGGCTAATCTGGGATATCACTCGCTCCAGGTATTTTTATACGCATGAGATAGGATTCTTTATTCTTTTAAGCAGTACATGAAGAGATGTGGATACTTTGCTAATGTAGCACTTAAATGCACTATGTATTGTATCACCTATTCAGTAAATAAATAAACATTAATCAGGAATTATGAAATCAATAGAGATAATTCCCTGGCACTCTTTGTTTCATCTTTATCTGTCAATATTTATCCTTTAAAAATAAACTTGTCTTTTTGTCCATTTGAGACAGCACCTCACTACTGTTTACCTCTCACTGTAAGCTCTATGTGTTTGTTAAAATTTCATTCTAAATACATAATTACTGAGCTATAATAAACTGGATCACTACTTCAATTTTCCTGCTCCAAATTGAGATGTAAGCTGCAAGAATGAGCTGGTTTTCCCTCAGCTTCTTCACAGAGAGCAGACAATGTGCCCCCTTCACTGTTTAAGAGATACATGCTTTTTGGTACTTGTATGTATGAGTATGAGCTGTAGTTGTTTGCAGAACAGTTTTTTACCCTAAATGTCTGTTTTAGTTATCCACAGGATAAGAGACCTGTCCATGTTGATCGAGCCAGATTATTCAGGTATAAGTGCTGTCTTATTCTCTGGTTTTTACCTACATAAATCTATCTATATGGAAGCATTGTGAATGTAGGGACCTGCTGTATCTCACTTCAATAATTTTTAGGAGGACCTGGTCTTTGAGCTTTGTGAAATTTGTGAATGACCTACATTTAGTATATATGTATAACATTCCCATGATTTTTTTCTGTTTTATGACAACAAGCATACGGGGCTATGGGTGGTAAATCATTTAGAAGCCATTTCTCTGAATTAATTTCTCTGGTGTTAGTGGAGTATCTAACAGCTTCACACAGTTAACCACAAGGGAAGGAACTCCACTTTGTGTGTACTTCTGGTAGTCTGGTAGGGATATTTTAAAAGTATGTTCATTGTATTCATAGATGGTCCCGAGTGAATGAAAATCTGTTTGCAACCACTGGATATCCAGGAAAGACAACTACTCAACTGCTTGTTCATCATTTAGGACATCTGCAGGTAAATTTTTGAGTTCAGTTTTTGACTGGAATTACATCTGTTCGCTTCAAATCAGACTCATAAATAGTTAAAAGCTACAATTAAGAACTAGACTAAACCATCCAGAAAGGCTGCTTTATCTACCTATTTCATTTTGTATCATCCGTGCTAAGGGGGGGAAAAAAGATCACACCACGCTTAATCTGCTATTTTAAAAGCTGCTTGATCTATATGATTTATTTTGCATTGCTTTATTGATGCTAAGGGGGATAAAAACATTTAACCTGTTATTTAATAGTTTTTCAGTATTTCTTATTCTAAAGAGGCTAAAACCAGCTGGTTATGTATTTTATGTGTTTGAACTACTTATACTTTAAATCACTAATGAAAATATATCCAGAGAAAAGAAATATTTTGGTTTTGCTAGAGTTAGTATACATTTGTAATGCTTACAGTAAAAATACTACCTCCAAACATAAATTTCATTTTAAAAGATTTCTAAGTTTGGAAGTATGCCATTAAACTAATAATAATGTAATAATAGTGAAAATAATTGAAACAATTTGTTTTCATTGAATATTTTGCTATGTTACTTAAACGTAGTAAGTAGCTACTGGAACTAAGTAGCAGATAATCAGGTTTTCCAGTTGGATTTATGTTGTATTGTAACTGTATTTGTTAAGGAGTACTAAATCTGTGGTGTTTATTTGTTTATGTAACTTAGTACATGTGGTATAGAAATAATTTATATGGAAAGTTGTACTGATATTTTTCTCCTTTTTTTTCTTCTTTTTTTTTTTATTTTTAAAGCCCATTCTTACTGGCACTGCAGCTGTAGGATCTGGTTTGACATGGCACAGAACTCTTCCATTATGTGCAGTTGGAGGAGATCACAAGATTTTCTTCTGGGTAACTGAAATGTAAAATAAGCATTTGGCTTCTTTATGAAACTTCACACCATAATGTCTCTTTTCTAGTAAAACAAAGGAATTTACTCTTTGTACTGGTATTTATTGACTTGGAGAACATAAGAAAGAAAGAAGTGAAATACGAAACATTACTTTTGTAAAATTGGTTATCATACATCTGATACTGGGCTACTTCTCTTAAAATAAAATGTAAACTTATTAACATGGTATTTGGTATGAAATTATTTTTTTAAGTGTTTTTTAAGAGATTTTCTATTCAGCAGTTTCAGTCTGGCAGTCTCACTCAGTTAACACAGCTCAGATACTTTGAAATTGTCCAGAGTACCTACTGAAAGAACATGTGTCTTTGTATGAACTTTCCTGACCATCAGTATAAGAACGAAATGCAATACTGTACTGTCATAAAATGTCTGTTAATGTATGTGCTGAATAGTTACCACTAATGGTGAAGAAGCTAATGGTATAATCATAATGATAATTTTAAGTATTATTGCTCTTATGACAGAGGTTTTTACTTCATGTCAAACAGCGTGTGGGTTTTGTCTCTTTACAGCCTTTTACTTCCAGCCTTTCACAGGAAAAGCAAAGACATTCTGCTTTCTAAAAGCATATTTTCTTTGCCTTTCCTATATGAAACCCAGAAATTAAGTAAAAGAGGAAAGAGTAAAAGACAGAGACAGCTCCTATCTTCAGTATGCTTTTTACATGCTTTTGGAAGACAAGTGATATCAAGATGTTCAGCTGGCGTTAACGGCTCCTTAACAGCATTGTAGCCATCCTTATTAGCAGTAGTTAGATTTTTATATGGTTTTTTGTTTGTCCCTATTTATGCGGGACACATACAGCCAATTCAGAATTAGGTCAGCAAAAGAGTAGAACAAGCAAAGTAGCACAGAAAAGTTGATAAAAGGCAAGTGGGTCTCTGAAGTTAGTAACTACTTAGCATGAGACCAAGAATCACTTAGCAGTGTTCTCACTATCTTTGCTGTAGTCTTTTCTGTGGACAGTACTTGGGCATACAGGACTGGACTGAGTGGTTTGCATCTGAGTGTGCTACTTCACTGAGAGTCTCATTGCTTTTCTTAATGTTGGAGTTATCCAGTGCCTGTCAGCTTTATCTTGCAGTAGTTTCTGGGGGACTGTACTTAAAAGCAGTGGTTCTGGAGCAAGAGCTAGGAGCTGCATCTTCCCAGATAGCATCATCATGCCTTTGGTATCATCTTCTCAATTCACTTTTGATCATGTTCCAACATATCCTTCTATCTCTGTCCAGTTAATCATTAATTTTGAGCCAAAATACCACACTGCAGTTCATCTGAGTTTTTCCTTTTATCTGTCTTTTCTCTGAGACTCCTGGGGAGATGTCTTCTTCCCTCAGAACTGGAAGGACTTCTGAAGTAAAAGAAAGGGAGTGGAGCATCTCCCTCATGAGGAGTAGCTGAGGGAGCTGGGTCTCTTTAGCTCGGAGGAGACTGAGGGGTGACCTCGTTAATGTTTATAAATTTGTGAAGGGCGAGTGTCAGGAGGAATTAGCCAAGCTCTTCTCAGTGACAGCCAATGACAGTACAAGGGGCAATGGGAGCAAGCTGGAGCATAGGAGGTTCAATCTGAATATGAGGAAAAACGTTTATACTGTAAGGGTAACAGAGCACTGGACCAGGCTGCCCAGAGAGGTTGTGGAGTCTCCTTCTCTGGAGACATTCAAAACCTGCCTGGATGTGTCGCTCTGCAACCTAGTCTAGGTGATCCTGCTCTGGCAGGGGGGTTGGACTGGGTGATCTTTCAAGGTCCCTTCCAACTCCTGATATTCTGTGATTCTGTGTGGGTTTTTTGATCATGGAATGAGACATAAAAATAGGCTTTCTTTGATCTTAATGACAAAGCTGCATGTGAATACTTTAATAACGTTTTCATTCAATCTTTATTTATGGGTCTCTTTCAGAAGTTTCTGATCATTTTCTTGGCGAAAACTGATGCAAAGATTGCATCCTAAAACCATCTCAAAATACTACGTTGTAAAGTGGAAGTGATGGTAATCCCAGTAAAGCTCTTATTTCAATATTTTTAAATTACTTGAAGACAGAACGCCTTGGTCTGACATTGCTGAAAATTTCAGGCTGCTTCTTCCTATGACACTGATGGAATTTCTACTACATTCGGCTTTCAGTTAACAGACAGGAATTAACCAGGTTCCACCTTCCTCTAGCTGCTGTGTAGTGACTTGTGGGATGGAAGATTCATAGAATCATCACAGAATCATAGAATACCAGGTTGGAAG